TTTCTCTTTTCAGCTTCAGAAGATTTTATGCAAGGAGTTAACAATAAAACAGAACTATCCTTGAGTTTTGTTAAATCATGCATTTGGAATACTTTATTAACTCCTCCTGTGGATGAGCTATAATTTTTCTCCACCTCCGAGATGGGTAAATAAAATATACACAGCGTAGCAAAGGGCATGATTATTTACTACTTCATGTGGTCTCTATCAGTGGTGTACTATGCTCATTCTTTTTCATTTAAGTTTTACCCAAATCTCTTTCTTCAGGGATGGAGGACATTGTAATAAACATATCTTTCCACTGACAGTTCAGGAGGAAATGTTAGGTGGACTCTTTAGAGCAACCTTCTGATAGGTAAATACAATCAGAGAGTAACTGCAGTTGCCAGCAGATCCGTTGGCTTTTCCAACCAGTACTTTCCCACCAGTTTATGTCATAGGCAGTGAGGAAAGTGACATTAAAGACTTAAACATATTCCAGCAGTCTTTAGTCAGTGAAATGTCCAACTCAGATCTACTTCTGATGGGCTAATCCTGTAGTAAGAAAAATAAGTGTTCTGACAGGTAACTATTAAGGGAGATGATTATATAGTGCAGTTGATTGTACTGTCAGGGTACTTTAACAACCTTCAAACTCATTTTAAAACTTCAATGTTTCATCCAGACCCAACCCATTTTCCCTGGGAAGAATGGCCATGCCATTATTCCTCCCTCGTATTGGGCATTAAAACTAAAGAAATATGTTTCATAATTAAAGTCTCCAGTTCTTCCTTCTCTTTTGCATAAATGCATTGAGATAGCCGAGACTTGGTTTCTTTCAAAACTGAAGTCTATATATATATATATAGAGAGAGAGACTTTACAGATGCCCTAGGAATGACTGCCACTTCTACTTCTCTAAAAAGGCTTGATTTGCATCCAAAGGGCTGTCTTGCTCTCCTGCCCTCCTCCAATGGCTGCTACTCTTGAGTCTTCTAATTGGAAACCCAGGCATGCATGGGAAGTTCTCCCTTACCACTCTTTTCCAAACTACATGTTTTATTTTTATTTTTTCAAACTGTGTGTTTTAAATGGCCGGTTGGAGGAAGGAGGAAAAGGAAAAGCAACAACTAAACCATTTACTAAGGTAAAGCACTTATCTCTGAGCTTTTTAACCCAAAAGTGACAAAGAAAAAGGCCTAGGGCTATAGCATGGTAGCGCACTACCACAGTGACAGTCCAGAAGGAAAGGCTAGGTGCGCTCCTTCGAGCAACCTTTTGATAGGTAAATACAATCAGAATTGCCAGCAGCTCTGCTGGCTTTTCCAACCAGTACTTTCTCACCAGTTTATGTGCCAGGCAGTGTCTATGACTACACGGACAGGCTGAGAGCACCCCACTCCCAACCTCTCCATGATGGCTTCATCCTGACAGAGACAAAACTTTGCACAGATGCACTCAGTCCCAATGCAGACTGACTGGAGTCCTAGGAAGGGAAGGAGACATTCCAAGCTATACTGAAACCTTAAGTGTGTTTTGGTTTTGCTTTTTACCAACACAGAATATGAGATCGACATCCTCTTGCCTCTCTCTACCCTCCCCTCTAAAAGATCTGTGCAATACCATTTTGTAAAGACCGTTTTTAAAAACACCTCCAACTGTATTCTTCCACACCTTAATCCCACACTAAGAGAGGCTAATTGATTTCATACTTATAAAATAAACTGTTGAGGACAGGTCTGCATTAATGTCAGAGGAACTGCCCATGCAGCTGGGCATCATGGGCATGGTCATCAGAGTGAGGACTTTGATAAAACTGGATAGTTTTTGTCCTGTGGTCTCTGTTCTAATGACTGTGGGTAAGGAGGAGGTGTGCAAGAGAATTTTCTACACATATCTGTTCACCTTCAGAGTCCCATGGCTTGTGAACTGGATTTAGAAAATGATTTTACAAAACCACCTTTATTCAGTGTGACTGACAAAAAAAGCCAAAATGAGTGATCCATGGCTTTAGGAGAGCAAAATGCCAATGTCAAAGAGGCACAGGATTAGGAAAGAATGGTTCACTAATTTCTTCCTTGTAAGAAAGATCTGGAGGGGTGGGTGGGTGTAATGGGCTGAAAGGGCTGCTTCGATCCAGACTCTGGAACTGGAGCACGAGTCAGTTTTGCATGTGCCGCCACAGATTTCTTCTCCTCTCCTTTTCCCACCAGATCACAACTACTCACTGGCTATCCAGCTGGGAGAGATCAAGTGTTGTGTGGTAGGTCTTTTAAAAAGTGATTGATGCCCAGCCATGATGCGGGCGGCCCACAAAAGGTATTGTCATCTTACTGCATAAGGCCTCCCCCTGAGCACAGAGTAACTTCTCCTGCCTGGGGTGGGGGGAGTCACACTGGAGATGCCCCACGTGCTGAATAGGGCTGTGAAGACCAGGAAGGCAAAGGAAGCCCCCAGAAAGAAAACCTGGGGGCCCAGGCCACTTCCAGGCCTTCTACTGCCCAGACTGGCCTCACCAGGAGAGAAAATTTGGAGAGTGCAAGCACGAGGGAAGCCCCAGCGGTCTGGCTGGATGCATATCCTAGGCACCGCGGTTCTGAGCCCAAGAATCATGTCTAGCTTTCATTTGTTTCCGGTTTGGGGGGTGAGGTGAGAGTAGAGGAAGGAAGTCCGAAGAGAAGATGGGTGAAGTAAGGGTAGAAACTGCAACTGCTTTTTCTGCTCCTGCAGCTGAGCATACCTGGAAATGTGTGTGGAATTTCACTGTGGGGTCTCAGGAGCCCTTGAAAAATAGGAGCGCTTTTCCGTTAAGTGTCCTGCCCAACAATAGACGCCGTTATCTACTGATTGGGTGTGGGATGAATTGGGGCCCAGGACGATCGTGCCAAGTTGGACCAGGATCAAACCACAGGCTGGAAGAGAGAAAGCTAGGACTGTCCAGGACCCAGGCTGACCCCTCAGTTCCTCCCCTGGAGCCGTTTTGCTGGAGGCCGAGCTGTAGGCCCAAGGGGGGGCGCTCTGGAGGTGTACACCCCAACAGCATGAGGGCCGGAGGGGGGTCAGCTCCCCCCATACCAGTTTTCTTCCTGGCCTCTCTCAGGCAAGAAAGTGGGCGCATTCGCCTGAAGGAGCAGAGCAGCTCCCCTCTGAAAGCAGAGGGCCTGGATACTCTGAGAGCCGCTGCTGTTGGCTGCCTATCCCCAGTGCCAAGGGGTGGCGTTGAGTTTTGCACTGTCGCCTGCCTTCCCGAGCAGCCGGCGGCCTCTCCATCGGTCTTGAGGGCCCCCTTCCCTAACCCCAGGGTCACGCCGGGTCCTGGGGGGTCTTTCGTAAATTTGGAAGCGGAGAAGGGCCACCGCGGAAAAGGTGGGCGCCGCTGCTCCGGCGGAGGCTCGGCTGGTCCCCGGCCCTGCCGGGCCCCGCCCGCACGCTAGCAAGGCCTTAGCCCAGAACAGCCAGGGCCCACCAGGCTGCCTCACTCTGCAGCCACCCAGCCCCCCGCGCTGTCCCCGCGGCTGCCCCCGCCCCCCGCGCCAGTCCCCGGAGCCCGCCCCGCGCGCCCTCTGACGCAAACGCCCGCCCCTGCCCAGCACCGAGGAAAATGCTCCTGTTGGTTTTAATTGAGGATCTTGGTTTCACACACACACCCTCGGTCCCCACCCCAGGAGCGACCCCCTCCCCGCCCCCGGCCCTCTGCTGCAGGGCTCCGGATCCTGGCGCAGATCTCGCCGCCGCCGCCGCAGGTTCTCCACTCTAGCAAACGGCTAGAAGTCCCTTTCAAGCCGCCGACGCGATCGCCCACCTCCAACAGGCGGCCATCGACCGCGTTCCTTCAGGGAAGCGCGTTACAAGCGGCGCCCGTAGGTGGGCGGCCGAGCCGGGCTCCCCAGGTCCCGGGATCTGCGGGCGAGACGCAAGCACAGAGGCCAGCGGGACTCCAGGCGCTGCCCGCCCCGCGGGGCCAGGCCGAGGCCGCTGCCTGCCGCGGTGGAGCGGGGAGCCGGGGCAAAGCGCCAGAGCACGGGGTGCTGGAAATCTGTTTTGAATCGGGGTGTAGCGGGGCTAGCGCGATCCTCCCCTCCAGGGTGGCGCCGCGGCTGGACCGAGGCCCGGCAAGGGCCGAGCTCGAGCAGGCCCAGGGCAAAGTTCTCCGGTCCCGCGCGGGCGGCCACAAGCCACCCAGACTCGGAACGCGGCGCGAACCGGGTCTGCCTCCCTGCCTGGTGGCGTTACAGCCCCAAGTTCAAAAGAAACGATCGCCCTGGTGTTACTTGCCTGCTGGGGCCGGACTTTGGCGAGTCTCGCTTCTGGTGCCCACGACGCACGGTCCGGGGTCCGAGGCGGCTGGGCGGGCGCACACACCCGGGGTCCAGCAGCGGCCCCGGGCCCGCGTTGGCGCCTGCTTCCCCCACCCCCCGCGCCTCTCTGTACCTTTCCCCCGCCATCTGCAGCACTCTACAAGCTGCCTGAGCTACCCGCTCCTGCCTCTGACTACACGGGGAGGAAAATGCAGAATTTGTAGACAAATTCACTCTTTTTTCTTTCTTTCCTCCTTCCCTCCCTCTTACCCTCCCCCCTTCCCTCCCAGTATTTTAATCAGGTTCCTTCCACCTTCTCCCTGCCCAGGAGACGTGAGCACTTGCGTTTGGGTACCGGGGCCGGGGCCAGGAGCCCTGCCACCCCCGGTAGCCTCCTCGCCATCAGCTGCATACAATGGGCCGCCGCGCGCGGAATGCGCGACACTCTCTCCATTATTCGAGCTGGAGGGGCTGTAAGACCGACACGAGAAAGCCTTTATTCTGTTCTTTAAAAAAAAAAAAAATCACTCGTCACTAAGCGGTCTCCGACACCCGACTGGGATGGTTGGAAAGACCGAGAAGCGCAAAGCCACCCTAGACGCGCAGTGCTTCCCAAATCCCTCCCTGGTTGAGATTTAAAGTGAGAACGAGGATTTAAAAAAAAAAAAAATCCACCAACCCTACCTCTGTCAACACATCGTGACCGTGCACTTCCACGTTTACCTGAGGACGTGTTGGGGCTCGAAACACGCGAGCTGTGACAAACTTTTACGCTCTCCGGAGTCGAGGGGTGGGTAGGCGAGCGCGGCTCCCACCCGCGGTGGCGGCAGCGGCGACAGCGGAGGCTTTGTCACTCGGCGCGCCAGCCCGAGCCTGCCTAGGGGAGCGATCTCCGAACGAGGGGGGTGCGAGTGTGGGATTGGAGAATATGTAACTAATAGAAGTATCATTTTCCCCCAGTACGATCTTTCAAGGAAAAAAAAAATCCATTGAAAGATTTTCAAAGTGCTGTCTTGGTTTAGAGAAAAGACACAGGCTGCCTGCGGGGAGGGAGGAGGGACTGCGCCGTTGCCGCCCGCCAGCGGCTCCCGTCCGCTAGGTGGCAGCCGGAGCCAGCGATTCCTGCGGGCCCCGCGGCGGGACCGCTCCTCCGCCCGCCCCTCCTCCGGCGACCAATCACCGTCGGGAATGGGGGCTCAGTCGCCCGCCCCCCTTGCCCCCTCCTCGCTCTCCCCTTCTCCTCCCCCTCTCCTCCTTCCTTTGCTCTTTTCCTGGGACTTTGACTTGGCCTCCCTAACCACCCCCCACACCATACGAAGACTTACTACTGTCTTATTAATAATTATGGAAGCATTGTTTGTAGTTGGAAGAGCCTGGATTAAAAGAAAAGAAAAGCCAGATTGATTGGAAAGTTTATTTTCAAATCATCTTTGCGATAAAAAGGAACCGCTGATTCAGATCGAAATCACAGCAATAGTTGCCAATTTCACTGGTGTGCATTGTCGTAATCAAACCTTCAAAGCCAGGATACACTCTGGATCAAAACACAGGAAGACGCTACCTTTATTCCAAACACACACACACATATACACACACAAAATGAACAGAACCAGACTAGGATTATGACATATGAAAAGGAAAAACAATCCAAACCCTGTATATTTGGCAAATCACAAAAATGGAGAGGGTTGCTGTCCCACCTAAATGTTCACGCCAACATTTTCAATGAGTCTCTTCACGCTCATAAAATCTAATTTTAAAAACTTTTCAGAATGGAAATAATTTCATTCTCTCTCTTTTTCTCCTTTTTTCCCATAGCAAGACATTCTCCCCCTCGTCCTCCCTTCCCCCTCTGGGGCGTGTGTGTGTGTGTGTGTGTGTGTGTGTGTGTGTGTGTGTGACCATAGACGACCCATACTAATCAGGTCTCAGAGTAAATAGCAGCGCAGGGCGATCTCCATGTAAATTGCGCTTGTCAGTAGCACCCCCCCCCACTTTCTCTCCTCCTCCCCTCGCTATCCCAGACTGTAGGTAGCTAAGAGGGAGGGGAAAAGAAAAAAGAAAAAAAAGAAAGAAAGAAAGAAAGAAAAAAGAAAGAAAGAAAAAGAGGAGGGGGAGGGGCTCGGCAGCCAATGGCGTGCAGGAGGCTTGGCTAACCTTAGCCTCCCATTCTCTCTCCCCCCGATTCAGGGCTCTGACCAGTCAGTCGCCTTTGATTATCAGTTGCCAGCAGCCCTTCTCTCCGCTCCTTGACACGAGCTCCATATAAGGCAGCGATCTCCATAGAAACGTGTCAGTTTCAATAGTAGTGTCAAAGTTCACTATATACAGACATTCGCGCAGATCCCCCTTTCGGAAACACTGCTCTGCGAGTCCTCCCGTTTAAACGCATTCAATTTTTGGGTCTCTCTCTCTCTCTCTCTCTCTCTCTCTCTCTCTCTCCTTCCTCTCTTCCTCTCTCCCCCCTCCCTCTTCTGTCTTCTCTTTCCCTCTCGCCCTCTCTTCTCTCTCCCTCTCTCTTCTCTCCCGTTTCTCTTTTCTTACATATTTTACTAGTTGTTCCCCCTTCTTCTCTCCTCCTTCTTCTACTCCTTTCTCTCCCTCCTCCTGTCTCTTTTACTCCGTTCCTGCAGAGGAGAGAAAGCTAAACTTGAAAAAAAAAAAAAAAAAAAAGGGAGGAGGAGGAGCACCCCCTTCGTATTCTTATCGTTATTTTATACATATATGATTTTTTTGTAGGGAGGGTGTTGGTTCCCGGCTGAAGAGCACTTATTTAAAATACTAAAAAAAGAACATTTTTGGGCGATCTCCAGGGTTTTTTTAACTAGCTCTGTGTGTTATAGCAGAAGAAGCAGAAGAAGCAAGAAAGGAAAAGAAGAGGATTATTTATTCGACCTACTTTGGATGTCTCTCTCGCTTTTTCTTTTTCCTTTTTTTTTTTTTTTTTCAATTATTTTCTTCTGATTTTTAATTTTTTTTTTCCTGTCTCGCTGTGAATTCGTCGCCGGCGTGAATTATCCCGCATTTTTCTCCCCCTTCCGTCACCTCCCGAAAGAAGAAGGCAGCGAGAGCCCGGCGCCACCGGCACAACAAAAAGAGCAAAGTGTGTGATCCTCCTCGCCGGCTGCCTCCCGCTCTCCAGCGCTGCCTTCCTGAATGGCTGGCTGCGTCCGGCCCTGGACCTGGCCCCCCGACACCAGCGCGCCCTGATCGCCGCCGCCAGCCTCGCCCCGCGTCCGGCTCGGCTCAGCCCGCCGCTCCCCGCAAGCTCGCGCCCTGCGAGGGCTCCC